ATTTCTGTATATTAATTTTCAGTCCTGCAACTTTACTGAATTCATTGATGAGCTCTTATAGTTTTTGGTAATTTTTTAGGATTTTCTATGTATAGTATGTCATCTGCAAACAGTGGCAGTTTTACTACTTCTTTTCCAATTTGCATTGCTTTTATTTCTTCTTCTTGTCTGATTGCTATGACTAGGACTTCCAATACTATGTTGAATAAAAGTAGCAAGAGGGGCATCCTTGTCTTGTTCCTCATCTTACAGGAAATGATTTCAGCTTTTCACCATTGAGTATGACATTAGCTGTGGGCTTATGGCTTATCATAATGGCCTTTATTATTTTGAGGTGTGTTCCCTCTATACCCACTTTGTGGTGAGTACATTATTTGGATGTATCTCTTTTTTTTTTTTTGGCTGTGCTGCACAGCTTGAGGCATCTTAGTTACCTAAACCTGGGTCCCTGGCAGTGAAAGCGCCAAGTCCTATCCACTGAACTGCCAGGGAATTCTGTTTCCTTAAAGTTTAGTTTTATAGTTAGCAGAGTGTAGGACATGTTTTCATGTACTTATAAACTTGTGATACCCAGTGTTTTTTAAAAGCTGCATGAGTTATAACTGAGTAATAAGTCAATTTTTTTTCTAATATGTATACCAAGTATGTTCTATTACCTGCTTTGTCTTTGAAAAATGCAGGAGATCAAAGAATAAAACTATTGAAACAGCAGTCCAAGGGATCTAGATTGAGTAGGAAAACAAGAAAATCAGAAGTTGCAAAATGAACTGTGAATAGGTAGGGGTGGTCTAGAAACTAGAGGGTATCATAAAGTAAAGATCTTTAGTACTATCAGAATTCTTGGAAGTACATTTTTATTTTTATCTTATTTTATTTTATATATATATTTTATATCTTTATTGGAGTGTAATTGCTTTACAATGTTGAATTAGTTTCTGCTGTACAACAAAGTGAATCAGCTATATGTATACATATATCCCCATATCCCCTCCCTCTTGAGCCTCCCTCCCATCCTCCCTATCCCACCCATCTAGGTGATCACAAAGCATCCAGCTGATCTCCCTGTGCTATGTGGCAGCTTCCCACTAGCCATCCATTTTACATTTGGTAGTGTCAATGTTACCATATATGTCAATGTTATATTCTCTCACTTGGTCCCAGCTTCCCCTTCTCCCCCGTGTCCTCAAGTCCATTCTCTACATTTGTGTCTTTATTCCTGCCCTGCCACTAGGTTCATCAGTACTGTTTTTTAGATTCCATATATGTGCGTTAGTATACAGTATTTTTCTTTCTTTTTCTGACTTACTTCACTCTGTATGACAGACTCTAGGTCCATCCACCTCATTACAAATAACTCACTTTCGTTCCTTTTTATGGCTGAGTGGTATTCCATTGTATATAGATGCCACATCTTCTATATTCATTCATCTGTCGATGGACATTTAGGTTGGAAGCACATTTTAAAAAATTGAAGTTTAGCTGATTTACAATTTGTGTTAGTTACAGGTGTCCAGCAAAGTGATTAAGTTATACATATTTATATACATAATCTTTTTCAGATTCTTTTCCATTATAGGTTATTACAAGATATTGAATATAGTTCCCTGTGCTATACAGTAGGTCCTTGTTGTTTATCTATTTTATATATAGTAATGTGTATCCGTTAATCCTGAACTCCTAATTTTTCCCTCCCCCCCTTTCCCCTTTGGTAACCATAAGTTTGTTTTCTGTGTTGGTCAGTTGCTTTTTAATTAAGCTCATTAATTAATGAGACTGTCTTATGCTTTTAGTACATAAATTTTAAAAGAACCTCAAGATCGTCTCTGTAAGGGAATGTATAGTCCAGTGTGTTCGGATATGCATACCTATAAACTTAAAAGCTTCAAGTAAAAAAAAAAAAAATTCCCCTTTAATTCTATTTCACAGTGGTAACTATTATTAACATTTTAGGTTTATACTACCAGCTTTTTTTCTGTGCTAGACCAATGTGTGTGTGTGTGTGTGTGCGTGCGCGCGCGTGTGTGTGTGTGTGTGTGTGTGTGTGTTTGGCTGTGCTGCAAGGCTTATGGGATGTTAGTTCCCAGAGCAGGGATCAAACCCCGGCCACAGGAGTGAAAGTGCTGAGTACTAACCACTGGACCGCCAGGGAATTCCCAGTGTTTGTGTGTTTTAAATAAAAAGGGATGATAATGTCACATGTGCATCTTATTTTGGTTAATGATATACTAAGAATATTGATACATAGAGTAATGGCTGCACATTTTTCACAATATGATTATATGAGTTTATTTCATACTTTCTCTACTGTAAATGTTATGTTGTATTATGATTTGCTTACATACATTTCTACTTTTTTAGTTTTGCAATTTGGATGGATGAAAACATGACATTTATTTTCACTTGCTTGTCTTCTAGTAAAGTTGGACAGCTTTTGATCCTTTTGATTTCCACCTAAGTGAATTGCATATGCCTATTCTTTCCTCACTATTCTATTGAGTCATTTTCCTTCTTAATTTGTTGGAGCTTTTTTATTAAGAATGGTAACTCTTTATATGTACTGCGAATATTTTCCCAGTCTGTCACTTGACTTTTCAATTTATTTTTGGCAATATTTCTCCTACCTTTATAAGTAGCTACGCATATCAGGAAATAAATACATTTTACATCACGATTCAATGCACAAACACATACATAAAAATTTATATGATAGGGTTTCCCTGGTGGCGCAGTGGTTGAGAGTCCACCTGCAGGTTCAGGGGACACGGGTTTGTGCCGCCGTCTGAGAAGATCCCACATGCCGCGGAGCTTCTAGGCCCGTGAGCCATGGCCGCTGAGCCTGCGCGTCCGGAGCCTGTGCTCCGCAACGGGAGAGGCCACAACAGTGAGAGAGGCCCGCATACCGCAAAAAAAAAAAAAAAAAAAAAAAAAAAAATTATGATAATACTTATCTTTACTAAATGTAGTGTACACATTTTTCTTTAATATTCCATTAAAAGATACTTGTCACAAAGCATGATATTGGTATTGGGACACATAGGTTGTGATCAGCAATTTGAAAAGCATATTATGGTGTCTTTGCCTTTAAGATTGTTAATATCATATGTAGTTAAAGAATTCTATCTTTTCTTCTATGGCTTACCACTTTTTGCTCTTGCTTTGGAAGATTTTTGCTTACATCTTTTTATATTTACATTGTTAATGTATCTGGAATTTTTTTTTTTTCTTTTTTTTTTTTCTGTACGCGGGCCTCTCACTGTTGTGGCCTCTCCCGTTGTGGAGCACAGGCTCCAGACGCGCAGACTCAGCGGCCATGGCTCACGGGCCTAGCTGCTCCGCGGCATGTGGGATCTTCCCGGACCGGGGCACGAACCCGTGTCCCCTGCATCGGCAGGCCACCAGGGAAGCCCCTGATTCTTTTTTTTAGTCGATACTCCTGTTTTTTCTTTGCAGTCAGTTATATAATCATCATCCAGTAAGAAGTCTCCTAATTTTTTATGTTTAGATTTTACTGTCTTCAAGGCATTGACTAGAACATCCAGAGCCACGTTAAATATTATAGAGCTTATTTTCTATTTGCTCTTGACCAAAATGTCCCCTATTGTCTCCTCCTGTGGTATAATTTTGGATGAACTATTTCAAGGTTTAAAAAAATAGGGATTAGAGGGGGGAATAATGATTCCTTAATGGGTACAGTGTTTCTATTAGGGGTGATGAAAATGTTCTGGAATTAGAGGTGATTGTTGCACAACACTGTGAATAAAATCAGAATTACACAATTTCAAATGGTAAAATGATGACTTTTATTTCATGGGAACTTCATCTCAAAAAAATTTTTGAAAAGGGGTGTCACTACCCACTCACCAGAATGTCTGATGTGTAAAGATAGAAAATACTAATTGTTAATAAGAATGTGAGCTAATTGTTAATAAAAATTGAAACTCATAATTTCTGGTGGGAGTGTGTATTGACAACCACTGTAGAAAATGATTTGGCCTATCTCCTAAACTACACGCATATATACACACACTGAATGACTGAGCACTTCCACTCCATGCAATGTATGTACAAGTTCACCAAAATATAACAGTAATATGTTATAGCAGTGTTCTTTGTTATAGCCAAAAACTAAAACTAAATGTCCATCTACAGTAGAATAGAGATATACATTGTAGTATATTCAGTCAATGAATTACTGTATAGCAGTAAGAATGAATGGATTACAGTTAAACTTTACAACATGGATGACTCTCAGAAATATAATTTTGAGTAAAAGGAAGTCAGCTGTATAAAGTTGGGAAATAAGCCAAAGAAATCTATGATAGATGTGATAGCAGTAGCTATCCTTTGACAGTGGAGTGATGACTAGATGTGGTTTTTTTAATTTAAAAAATTCTTTTTGTTATTTTTATTTTTTTATTGAAGTATAGTTGATTTACAATGTTGTATTAATTATTGCTGTACAGAAAATTGATTCAGTTATACATATATATACACATTCTTTTTTATATTCTTTTCCTTTATAGATTATCGTAGAATATTGAATATAGTTCTCTGTGATATACAGTAGGACCTTATTATTTATTAGATGTAAGTTTCTTGGTTGGGATCTGGGTATATAGGTGTTCATTTTGTAAAAATTCAACAAGCTATATATTTATGATTTATATTTTGTGTGTGTGTGTGTTCTACTTCAGTACAGTTTGCATTGAAATAATAAGTATTGTTCATTGAATGGCATCAATGTAAAAATATTTTAAAATTTTATTTTGGAAAAAAATGAATATACCAAAATATTAACAGTCATGGGAATATGAAGGTTTCCACTTCTCTTTTTTTTCTTTCCCCTTTTTGGTATTTTATAACTTCTAAAAATGTAAAAAGTGAAAATAAAATATTTTCAGGGACTTCACATTTAGTTGCTTTTAAATTGTAAAGCTCTTACAGCTCTTACTCAGATATTTGAGCAGATTATAAAAGTAATTTCTCTGTTTATTTTATAGGCAGATTTTGACAACAAACCAGTAAATGGCCCCAAGTCAGAATCCATGGAATACAGTAGTTGTGGTCATGAGGAAGAACAAAGATTGGAATTGAATTCATGTCCCTTAGAAAATGTAACTAAAAATGAAGAAAGTATGACAGGTATTGAAGTGGAAAAGTGGACACAAAACAAGAAATCACACTTAACTGATCATGTTAAAGGAGAATTTAATACAATTAAAACAGAAGCTGAAAATTTGAAAAGCTCTGAAGATGACAGGAAAAAAATCCTACTTACTGACCTCCTTGAACCTCAAAAGTTGTTTGCACAAACTGTAAGAAACGGCATTAAAAATGTACACTATTTGCCAACTGAAACAAATTTGTCATTTAAAAAAATCAACATTGAAGAACTTGGCAAGGCATTTGAAAACAATCCTTATAAATTCCTGAAAGACACTGCAAACCATAACAATGCCATGAGCGCCATTGCTACTAGTGCGAGCTGTGATCATCTCAAGGGGAGAAGTAATGTTTTGGTCATTCAAAAGCCTGGCTTTAATTGTAAGTCTTTTCCAGATCCTGCAAACTGCAACTTAAATAGTCGTACAAGTATACACAATGAAAGTGATCAACCAAAATCCCTAGAAATTATAACAAATAGAGAACTAAAAGAAGGATCAACACTTCAACCAAGTCTTCTATCCCTAATGAAAGATAGGAGATTAACGCTAGAACAAGTAGTGGCCATAGAAGCTCTAACACAACTTTCAGAAGCCCCATCAGAAAATTCCTCACCATCGAAGTCAGAGAAGGATGAAGAAACAGAACAGAGAACAGCTAGTTTGCTTAACAGCTGTAAAGCTATCCTGTATTCTGTAAAAAAAGACCTCCAAGACCCAAATTTACAAGGGGGGCCACAAAGCCTTCATCACTGTCCATCTCTGGAAAAGCAAAGTTCATGCAACACATTGATGTTCAATGGCCAAAATATTTCTAAGTCACACAGCAGCTCACCTAGTGACCAAGCATCCACAAAGGCACAGGAATATTCAACAGTCACAAATTCAGTATCTGTTTTTATACCAAATTCAAATTCATCTAAAACCGATACCAATAAAAATGTTGCTCAAGGTAGAATTGCTCTTGACAATTCCAAAAATTTGCATCAGTTGACAACAACAACTAATAAATCGGAGTATTGTAACCAGTCACTGGACAGCAGCATCAAGTTGGACTCAAAGGATGATCCCTCATGTCAAGATACAGTTCATAGTAAAATAGAAGAAGATGTTGCTGCACAGTTAACACAACTTGCATCAATAATTAAATTCAATTGTATAAAACCGGAGGACAAAAAAGTTGAAAGTACACCAACAAGCCTTGTTGCATATAATGTACAGCAAAACTATAGCCAGGAGAAGGGCACAATAGAGCATAAACCACCTTCCAGTGTCCAAAATAATCAAGGACCTTCAGTAACAAAGCAAAAGAACACAATCCAGAAAAAGACAAAATCTACCCCATCAAGAGATCGACGGAAAAAGAAGCCTGTGATCATAAGTTGTCAAGAAAATGACCAGAAAAAACAGGAACAGTTGGCATATGAATATAGTAAGTTACATGACATTTGGATAGCATCCAAATTTCAAAGATTTGGTCAATTTGGTCCACATGACTTTCCTATTCTATTGGGAAAAATTCCTCCCTTAACCAAAGTATGGAAACCACTGACTCAAAGGAGCTCAGCATTAGAACACAAAAAATTATTTCCTCCACTCACTCAAATAAAATTTGAGCGGTATTATCCTGAATTAGCACAGGAGAAGATGAAGGTTGAACCCTTGGATTCTCTCCCCATAATCCAGTTGAAAACAGAATCCAACGGACAGGCGTTTACAGAAAATGGATATGCTCAGGTACAGCCAACAGTGAATGTCAATCAGAAAGCTCATCCTTTACTCCAGCCATCCTCTCCAACTAACCAGTGTGCTAATGTGGTGGCTGGCAATGACCAAACACAGTTCCAACAGGATGTTAAAGACCAAGTCACACATCAGAGGCTGCCAACATTGCCTGGTATCTCTCATGAGACCCCTTTACCGGACCCAGCACAAATTCTCAGGAACCTAAATGTAGTATGTTCAGGTGGAATTACAGTGGTTTCTACCAAAAGCGAAGAGGACGTCTGTTCATCTAGTGTTGGAGCATCAGAATTTTCCCCAATAGACAGTGCACAGAAAAGTTTTAATGATTATGCGATGAACTTCTTTACTAATCCTACGAAAACCCTGGTGTCCACAACAAAAGATTCTGAATTGCCTACCTGCAACTGTCTTGGTAAGTGAGTTTCTTCATTTTCTTGCATTAATGGCCTCAAGTTGTGACTGAATCAAGTTTGTTTTACATTTTGTATATGACATTTTTGCCTCACTCATATTCTAGCTAGGATGGACTAAATAATTCTATACCCATTTTTCTGTGGGACCTTTATTTATGCTGCTCAGATAAATGGGAAATCCAACTGGTAATTTGGAAACTTTCTTAAGTGGAAAATTTGATTTCTCTCAAGCTAGATGTCTCTCAAGTTGTTTACTGTGCATATCATAAGAATGAAGTCCCTTAATACGTTATCACAGTTTATTCTTCCTATATTCAAAAGAATTTCAACCTTTAAGTCTTTTGTTTAAAAATATATATATTTTAAACTGTGCAGTGTAGCATGCATACAGAGAACATAAAATATATGTACAACTTAACAAATAACTATAAAAAAAAGTATCTGTGTAATTGCTAACCCAATCAAGAAGCAGATGGTTCATTAGTATATTCCAGAATGGGTGGTTAAAGGATTGATGGGAAGGATAAAGTAAATATATCATTCTGATATTTTTTTAACCACAATAGAAAAAATAGTGAAGTGTAGCAATGACTTTTAGTTCTTGATTTTTCAAAGTTCATTTGATGCTCTGAAATGAATCCTTCCATTTCTCTGCTCATCATTCAACACTCAGTTTTGACAGCTTACCACATACCAGGCACCAAAGATAGGCTCCTCTGAGAATGAAGAGCCTCCAAGGAGGAGGATCTGACAATCTGGAAGGGGTGGCAATGCTGTCTGAGCGGGGTCAATTTGGCAGAATGAGAGATTCTTGGACCAAGGACAGAAGATTGTAATAATGATAACGGCTCCTATTCCAGGTCTTTTACTGCAAGTCTGATAACTGTCCTACACCCTTGACTTGTTATATTCACAACAACCCACCAAAGGGAATGCTTATTATCCCCATTTTACAAGTAAGGAGACTGAGTCAGAGAAGTTCACAGCTAGTAAATGATTAAACTGGAATTCTAAGACAGGCAGTCCCAGCTCCAGCGGCTGTATTTGTAACTTCCATCCTACGTTGCTTCAAAAATCTGAAGTGAAAAAGAGACTGTTTCTCTGAATATCATTAAAAATGGAAAAAAGGCCTTTAATTTAAAATGCCAGTAAGATTTATATACCTGAGCTCGTCTAATTTGACTGCATATATAAATTTCAATAGGATGATTGTCTAGTTTCAAGACCCTTATACATACTACCTTAACGCAATGTGGGAGTCAAGACAGCCAGGCATTCAAAGTTCATTCAGTATCTGCAGTGGACCTGGAACTGTTGAATACCCTTGTCAGTTGCATGTTTTCCTATAATTGTTACATTTGAGGTTTTTGTGCTCATTGTGTAGAAATCGGAACTTAAAAAGAGAAACAAAAAAGTAGACTTCAGAAATCATCCAAAGTGAGGGTAAAGGATCCCAATCATATCTGAGGGTAAAGGATTTCTGTGAAAGTGTTATTATGTTCTAGCAAAATTAGAGTAATTAACCTTTAGATCAAGTTTCCTCAAATTTAGCACTATTGGCATTTTAGGTGGGATAATTCTTTGTTGTAGGGGGACCACCTTATCTATTGTAGGCTGTTTAGTGGCATCCCTAGCCTCTACTCACTAGTGATGCACACACACACACACACACACACACACACGGGTGCGCGTTTGCAGTTGTCACAACCCAAAGTATTGCCAAATGTCCCCTTTGGCAAAAATACCCCTGATTAAAAACTACTGCTCTAGATTACCAATAAGTTAAAAATTATTCACCATATCTTGCTTAAGTAGCCCCAGAAATAATCCTATGTTATATCTGATATCTGATTAAAATGGTAAGTAATGATCTCTTGGTGTAGGTAGACATGCATTTCCCAGTGATTCTAGTTAGACATGAATCTCAGAGGCCAAGTTTTAAAATACCATTTTCTAAGAACTATGTAATTTACACAAAAATTCAAATGGTACAGAAATATGGTGCAAATGTCTTTTTCTAGAGAAAAACGGCTGTTATATTTTTTCTATACAAATTAATATTATTAGTGATTTTAATTTTGTTTCCAGTTTTACAAAATTTAAGGCTTTTAAAACATACTATTTAACTATTACCTCATTGAAAGATGTTAAGAGTGTTTCTCTTTTTTAATATTACGTACAATTGTAACAAGGAATATTCTTGTATACATGTGTATTATAAATACATAATTGCGCGCATGTGTAATAGAATAAAATCTTAGCAGTGCAATTGTCGGGCTCAATTTTAATAGGATTCTGAAGCCAAGCTTTTAAGATGTATTGCTCTTGGGTAGCTTAATTTTGTACCTCAATTTTTATAGAATTTTTTTAAAGCAGGAGATCTGAGAATAAATATGAACCACAAGTTAAAATATGTTTTTCCTCCTCTGATTCTTAGAGAAAGAGTGGACTAATTAGGAGCAGAAAGAAAGGGATAAGTTAAATTCCAGGGCCTATTGTCCTAGACTTTAATTACTAAAGCTTACCAAAATCTTGTCAAGATTCATTGTTCTGAATTGAAAAAAAAAAAAAAAATAGCTCTTCCTTGCCCCTATGCAATTCTGTAAAGTTTTGGGTCTAATAATCTTATTCCTTCCACAGATCGAGTTATACAAAAAGACAAAGGCCCATATTATACACACCTTGGGGCAGGACCAAGTGTTGCTGCTGTCAGGGAAATCATGGAGAATAGGTGAGGAAATATGCTTCCCTGTTAAAATCATTCATTATTGGGGATCTGACTCAATGCAGAGAAATCATCTCTGGGAACAAACTCGAGGTGAATGGAAAACTTCCAGGAGCATGAGTTTGATGTTTCTTAGGGCCCAGGAAAAGCATAGAGTCCTGGTGTCCCTGCTGAGTCACTCACATGAGCCATTGGGCACTCAATAAGACCTTCATAAAGCAAGGCTATCTTTGTTAAATGCAGACATACTTATTTTTATTATTGTATAATGGTAGAAATAGTTAAAATTACCTCTGTCAACACTGCATTCACATTCCTTTTGCTTGTCTTGGAGCCAGGCCATTTTTTAAAAGAGTGATCCTTAAGGACAAGTAAACAGAACTGGATAACAAATAAAAATACCTGCCACACGAAAGTAAATTTTTAACAAAGTTATAATTATGAGTGTTTGAATTTTGTACTTCTGTAAATCTATATCTTATGCACATGAAGATGTTAAAAGTGTATTGCAATTATTTTCCCTTCACTGTGTTTCATACTCAGGTATGGTCAAAAAGGAAACGCAATAAGGATAGAAATAGTAGTGTACACGGGGAAAGAAGGAAAAAGCTCTAATGGGTGTCCAGTTGCTAAGTGGGTAAGTATTTTGCACTTATACATTTTTCAAAATGGATATATTCCACATATAAACTAAATCAATTTTTTTCCATGAAGATGTGGACTAGAAAAATACCCACCCCCATTATTCCCAGGGAAAAAAGGAAGCTATTTGTCTTAGCCTGGGCTTTTTATGTTAATGAACAAAAGGGTATGGCCATTCTCAGTTGGTATCTTGTGATATAGGGTCATTAGTCTTAGAGTTTTTTGTTACTTTTAGACAGCATTCAGTGCATTTATAATTAGACAGCATAAATAAATGGTACTAAATTATATATATTGTTTCCTATATCTTTTTTTTGTACATTCTTTTTCATATTCTTTTTCATTATGGTTTATCATAGGATATTGAATATAGTTCTCTGTGCTAGACAGTAGGACCTTGTTGTTTATCCATTCTAGATATAAAAGCTTACATCTGCTCACCCCAACCTCCCACTCCATCCCTCCCTCAGCCCCGTCCCCTTTGGTGACCACTAGTCTATTCTCTATGTCCCTGATTTTGTTTCTGTTTCATAGATAGGTTCATTTGTGTCATATTTTAGATTTCACATATAAGTGATATCATATGGTATTTGTCTTTCTCTTTCTGACTTACTTCATTTAGTACGATAATCTCTAGTTGCACCTATATCTTACTTTTATCAGTTATTTTGAAATTCTAATTCATTGTCTCATAGGGCCACCTTAATGAAGATCATACAATATCGAAAACAAAACCAAACTTTTTACAACATATTTCCAAAATTGTTTTATGACTGCTTTGAGTTTTCTAAATTTGCGAAGCTATAAGAAGAACTGGATTTAGCTTCTTTAGGAAGTTCTCAACTGAGAAACAGTATCATATCAGGAGGATGGTCACATCCACAAGGATATTGACCAGTTTACTTGGAATTCTTGACCAAAGGATCATTTGAGATGCTGTCCTATCATTTGTCAATAATGATGATGACTATAATAAAATAGTCAGTGAGTAAAATAATAACAACTACCTCTCATTAAATATCAGGAACCGTATTAAGAACCTGACATACATTGCCTCATAAATCCCTGTAGAGAGACTCATGATTTTGGAAAAGGGAAAAGTCATTGTTTTTATGCCCATTTCAGAAGAATAAAAAACATTAAATGCAAAATGGAGATAGGATTGGAACCACGGTATTCCTAAAGCAAGACCATTGAGACATCCTTATGTATTCCAGCAGACTGTATGACGTGGTTATTAATTTATTTATTTTTGGCTGTGCCGCGCGGCATGCGGGATCTTAGTTCCCCAACCAGGGATTGAACCCATACCCCCTGCAGTGGGAGAGCGGAGTCTTAACCACTGGACCGCCAGGGAAGTCTCTCTGGTAGGGTTTTGATTAGAATTGTATCAGATTGTATCAAACCAATTTGGGAGAATCCTAACCATTGGACTGCCAGGGAATTCCCTGTCTTGGTTACTTTTCAGCCTTTGGAGGGTGACAGCAGTGATGAGCACAAGAGCTGGGCACTGAACACTAAATACCTTAGAGTACTTTCAGTTTCTTCAATCCGTTTGGAGTGCATAGTCTTGTCAAAATATAAATGAACATATCAAGGAATTCTCCATATGTATAACACTACCCAGATAGTGATATAAATCTTTCTAGCACCCCAGAAATCTTTCTGGCCCCTCCCAGTTGGTAACTCCATGCAAAGATAACCACTATATAACCACTTCATTATACAGGTCTTTTTCATGATTTCTATACAACTAGAGTCATATAGAATGTACTCTTTTGTGTCTATCTCCTTTCCCTTAACATTTATAAAACATGGGTTTAATGGCTGGAGCTCCCACAGCCGACTGGAACCATGAATTGACTTGATAATAGAAGATATGTACTAGGATGGGGAGAAGAAAGATAGGAGCCCGAGTCCCTGATGATACCAATAGAAGCGCTGTACCAACCTTAGGCTTCTTAAACCTGGATTTCTGTAACATGAGAGAATTTTTTTCACTTCTTTAAAACCTGTTACTAGACAGTCTTCTGTTACATTAAATAGAATCGAATCCCAAGTAAGATACCTGCCTTCAATTTGCTCAATTTCCACAAAACATTCACCCACACAAGTCAGTCTCCACATGTAAGAGTTTTGGTGAAGATATATCTAAACGGTAGTCAGAGTGATCTTTATTTTTATTTTTATATTTTATTCACTCTTGAGAAAGTTAAGACGGTCAATCCATAACATTTTAAAGTAGGAAATAATACAGAAGGGCCGTTTTTTCTATTGAGTTATTAGGCTTCTATTGATTTTTATAGAAGATCCTTTAGAAAACTGACTGTGATAAGTTGCAAATATATTTTCTCTTTGTCTTGTTTCTTTGGCTGTGCTGCACAGCATACAGAATCTTAGCTCCCAGACCTGGGATTGAACCCACGCCCCTTGCAGTGGAAGGGTGGAATCTTAACCACTGGACCACCAATGAAGTCCTTGTTTGTCATATTTTTTAACATACAGATTTTTTTTAATGAAATGAAATTAAAAAAAATTTTTTTTTTTTAATTTTTGGCTGTGTTGAGTCTTCGTTGCTGCACGCAGGCTTTCTCTAGTTGTGGTGAGCGGGAGCTCCTCTTTGTTGCAGTGCGCAGGCTTCTCACTGTGGTGGCTTCTCTTGTTGCAGAGCACAGGCTCTAGGTGCACGGGCTTCAGTAGTTGTGGCACCTCTGTCTCAGTAGTTGTGGCTCGCAGGCTCAGTAGTTGTGACACATGGGCTTATTTGCTTTGCGGCATGTGGGATCTTTCCAGACCAGGGCTTGAACCCATGTCCTCTGCATTGGCAGGCGGATTCTTAACCACTGTGCCACCAGGGGAGTCCCCAATGAGATGAAATGTTGAGTTAAATTTTTAATGGAAAACTTTGCTTTTATGGCTTCAGTTGTGTCTTAATTAGAAAAATCTTTACCACTTCTACCTTATAAATCTCGAGTTTTCTTTTCATAATATTTTAATGATTTCATTTTTTTCTACACTTAACTGTTTTATTCATCTTGTGTGTAGAATGTTAGTCACAACTTGAGTTTTTTCAACTGGCTACCCAGCTATCCAACACCACTTTCTTTTCCCTACTGATTTGTATTTGTTTATATTAGTAGATTTTCTGTTCTGTCACATCATGTTATGAATCAGCATCAAATTACTCTAATTATTTGGGTTTAAAAATATGTTTTAATATCTGATAGAGCTAATTCTTCAGAAATTTCCTAAATATTCTTGCCTTGTTTTTTTTTCCGTATGAGTTTATGATCGCCTTGTCTATTTGCAAGAAATACCTTGTCGATTTTGGGGTTTTTTTTTTTTTGTTTAAGATTTATTTTATTATTTATTTTTGGCTGCGTGGGGTCCTAGTTGCGGCTCGTGGGATCTTGGTTGAGGCATGCGGAATCTTTCTTTTGTTGTGGTGCACGGGATCTTTTGTCGCAGCATGCAGGCTTAGTTGTGGCATGCAGGTTATCTCTCTCTAGTTGTGGCATGCAGGCTCCAGGGCACGTGGGCTTAGTTTCCCCGCGCCATGTGGGATCTTAGTTCACTGACCAGGGATCGAACCCACATCCCCTGCATTGTAAGGCAGATTCTTTACCACTGGACTACCAGGGAGGTCCCTCGATTTTGGTATTTTTATTGGAATCATATTACAGAGAGAATTTGGAGAATTTACATTTTTGATGTTTAGTCTTCCTATCCTAAGTGCTATACCTTTCCATTTGTTGATGTCTTCTTTTGTCCTACAGGAGTGTTCTAAAGTTTTGTTCCCATAGAGTTTACATGCTTCTTGTTTTCCAATTTATTTCTCTTATGTATTTCAGATGTACAATCATAATCTGTAATGAGAAATTTATATTCTCCTTTCCAAATTTAAACTGGTAATTTCTTTTTTTCATTTAATACAGTTAGTCTAACATACTAACTCCAGGTTTATATTGCTTTAAATATGGTCTCATCTTTTTCCTCTCTTTAGTGGGAACCTTCCAGGGTTTTCTTCTTATGAATGGGTCATCAGGGAAGGCCTCACTGGGGAGAGAACTTTTAAGCTGAGGACTACTGAGTGACAAAAAGGAGCTGAGTATGCAAAGAATACCCCCAAGAATGCAAGGAAGAACATTCCTAGGCAGAGAAAACAGCAAGTACAAAGGTCAAGGAAGAGAGTACATTCTTTTTTTTTTTTGCGGTACGCAGGCCTCTCACTGTAGTGGTCTCTCCCGTTGCGGAGCACAGGCTCCAGACGTGCAGGCTCAGCGGCCATGGCTCACGGGCCCAGCCGCTCCGCAGCATGTGGGATCTTCCCAGACCGGGGCACGAACCTGTGATGCCTGCATCGGCAGGCAGACTCTCAACCACTGCACCACCAGGGAAGCCCTAGAGTACATTCTTTAATAATCTGAGAGGAGTCTAGTGAAGTTGAGGAGGTAAAGAATGGAAATCGGAGACGGTAAAAAGGTAGGCAGAAGCCAGAGCGTGAATGGTTTTGTAGGTCATAGTGAATTTTAGTCCATGAACAACATGAAGCCTTTGAAGTATTTTAATTAGGGATGTGTTCTCTATCTGGTTTATGTTTTATAAAGAGCATTCTAAGTAATTACTTGATAAGCTCAGTATTATTTCTCTGTTGCTGCTGTACAAATTACCCAAATTTAGTAGCTTTGAACAAAAAACATTTATTATCTAATCAGTTTCGTGAGTTAGTAATCTGTGGGTAACTTAGGAGGGTGCTTCCAGAAGAGGCCTCTATCATCTCAAACTTGACTGGGGAGGAGGGTGCTGGAGGGTCCACTTCCCATGTCATTTGCAGGAGGCTTTAGTTCCTTGATAGCTGTTCACTAGAGGACTCACTTTCTTATCATAGGATTTCTTAAATGTTTTCTCATGTCATAGCAGCTTGTTTTCCCCCAGAGTGAGTCAATCAAAATATAATAAGGAGGAAGTCACAATGTCTTTTATGACATTAACCTT